TTGAGAAAGATGAGAGTGAATCAAATCAGTACAGTTGTGAGCCAACAAACCAAAGCAATGAGCTGAAAGATGCTGAAACAGAAATGTTTTGGGTCCATCACTACAAGAAACTACTTTCACATGGTCAAATGATCCATTGTCCTTTTCTCCAGTTAGCATTAGCTTAACTGCCAGCAAACAGCTTGCTGTAGCAAAGGTGTTATGCTATGGATACCTGCAGGTAAACTGTTTGAGTCCTCGACTTTTAAAAGCAGGCCTACTACCTGTAATGACTTTTGAGTGAGGGTAAGATGTGCTGAGGCAAACATGTTGATCTACTTTGTGGGACGACCTTTCCCTCATCTCCTTTTGACATTTGTAATACGGACCAAAAGAGCTGAATGTTACACCGACTTCATGCGTGCTTAGAAGGACCATATAGACGTTAGTAATGTAAGGGGATACGTCTCATCCCGCATACATCTTCCTCACTAGACTCTGTCTGACTCATACTTATTCCCAGTGGTAGCGCACAATTACTCGTTGAAAAATGCAACACAAGGCATCAGTCGCCTGCCTTATCAAAGCCACTGCAGCTGTACAGATAAAGGGTGAAAAAAATAAGATAAAAAAACACATGCATGATTGGCCAGATGAACTACTCGCTGAATTTCTGACCCATGCCTCGCACAGTATCGAGGCAAGACACATGCTGACAGGAATAAGGAATGCTGAAGGTGTGGTTTAGTTATTCATGGAGGTGTCCCCCGTCTAACAGATTTGTGCAGTCATACAGCAAAATAGGGATTGATTGTAATAAAAGCAGTTTTGGGTATCCATTACAAATGTTTAATAATGATCAATGTGGTACAACATCAAATGTAAATCAAAATCCAAGGTGCTTCCAAGGTGCGTTATGATGGCAGGTTGATAATATGATGTCACATAGCATTTGTGGAAAATCTATATTTGTTGTTGCAATTAGAGTAAAAATTGCCAGCAAGAGCACAATGCATACTGTCCATTTGTCCGTCTACTTCCCCAAGCTGTACAGTTCACCTCAGACATATACATGAATGTTATCAGGTGATTAAATGGCTTTTGTTTAGTTGCTGTCGGGAGCATAGATTTGAGGTGCTTCATTGGTTTAGTAGGCCATTATCATCGTTATCAAGAGCGACAAAGTCTGCGTAGAGAGCAGTGAAATGGGTCAAACAAACACAGGACTTTCTCCCAGAAGAACGTTGTTCGTGTTCTATAGTGAAACTAATACAGTAAGTCAACATGTTGACTTACTGTATTAGTGCAATTCATTTCTTTAGGGTGATGGCATCATAAAAGACGAGAGACGTTCAAAACTTCATTCGAAAACCTCAATAAGCTTTGAATTTAGATAAAATAGAATGTCGGTACAGTCCTTTTTACCAAACCGGTAAATCTGAATAAATAGGCTCATGTGACAGACACATACTTAACTTATGTATGTTACTTAAGTTACATTACTAATACTAACATTTTAACACGTACTGTACCACAATCTTTTCTTGAACCTAACCAGGTACTTTTGTTTCAATTCACAAGCATGTACTTAGAGCTCTGACCATTTCACAACGTGTGGGTAAGTACAGTTTGCTCGTTCTACCCGGTCTGAAGCGTTACAATGGCAGCGATAACAACTGATAACAGTCATTTAAATGGGCCGACAACATTTGAAACGGTGCATTATAAATGAACGCAATCATAGCTAACAGATTATTTATTTATGTGCTAGTGCTCCCTCTTTGTTATTCATAGAGCCGTTACTCGTTTCTGCAAAAATATTGGAGATTACAACTGATTGCTCTTTTTTTTATCTTTATATATCGCACCAGGAACGATAAGAAAACTTTGTATTATTCACGGTCTTTGCCCAAATGTGCTAAATTGATCAATCTGTGATAATGCAAGCGCAATCTTAGAAATAAAGCATCAAGTTAACTGAAAGTGATGCCATGGGGTCCCCTTTGAAAAAAAGAAGAAGAAAATACGCTGAATATTTGAACCTATCACCGTCTGCAGAGAACACCTCATTAAGTGCGATAAAGAGTATGAGACAAGCCACATTGAATCACACACAGCAGGAGGCTGTTGCTGCACATTCTCTGATGAATCTTTCAAGGATGTTGCAAGCACCACCAGCGGCCCCCATAATCAGCCATGTAGAGGCAGGTGTTTTGTTTATGACAGCTGGTGGGAAAAACCTGCTTGGGAAATACTTTAAAGAACTTGGCACGAAGCGGTCTTTGAAAAGGTGGACCGAATGTTCTTTCGCAGAACTTTAAAACAATCTTCCTCATTTTTGGTATCACTGTGAGAGAACACGTTTTTTCTAAAGATGTGAATGATAAGCCATTGTGGCACAACCTGCTCGTTTGTTAGGTCCTGTTACCCATGAGTGAGGTCGTATTAAGAAAATCAATGAACTAAATAAAACGAGTCCCTTAATAGTTTCCTTTGTTTTACATTCAGCATGTTTTTCGCAATTAATGCTGCTATCTTTGCTTTACCGATGTTGGAGAAGCTTACAGGGCTCATTTTTTTCTGACAGGCAGGTGAGTGTGAGGCAGCAGGGGAACAACCAAAATGCAGATAGTGGAGGCAGATAGGGAACGTTCAGTGATTTATTGACAAGTGGAAGATACAAATAGGACTACAAGTACACACACACGCACACACACACACACACACACACACAGGTCGGTTGACAAGCAGGCAGGTGTAAGTGGCGTGGCATGAAAGCGGAAACTCTGCAACTAAGAAACAACAACAGTCTGACAACTAATCGGGGGGAAAGGGGGGGCTGGTTTATGTGCTGCAGGGCTGATGAGGAAATGACGTGCAGGTGCTGGGAAGCTCGGGTGAGGGGAGTGAGGCGATTGCAGAGTAGATGGGAGTAACAGGATCTGGAATTAAAGGAAAGTCCGAAGACGACACTGAAGGGCTTAGGGACATTGAAACTATTATTGCCCTGAAGAGCTGGGTGCACAGTACAATACCTCGTACTTTTTGTCTTTTTATCATTTATTCTAGGACCTTTCATCAAATGCATGAAGGGCCTTAAACTTGACTTGTGACTTGCCCTCAAGGACCTGTAACCTGACTTGAGACTCATCCTTTGCTGACTTGGACCTGTTTCAAATGACTTCAGACTTCACTTGGCCCTCCTCTAAAGTACAGCTCTGCAGTTACACAACATCCCAGTGTGAAATCAATAAAGAACCTTTTAGCTTGCTTTGAAGAACCCTCGTACAAAGGGAAAGTGCTGGCTTCCAACAATAATGCTGTACCTCGTTTTGACCTTTTCCTATGAGATGCTCAGCTCTATCCCTTCAAAGTGTGGAAACACAGAGTGAAACGTCTCAGGCGTCGAGTGTACCAGCAGAACCTGCAGCTTTGAAGTGGTCAGGTTTGCTGTTTACCTCCATCTGTCTGATGGAGTGACGCCGTGTCAGTGGGTCAGGCACAACATCACATGACGCCAAGCCTTCAGGGGCTGCTGCCTGGTGGGAGGCGGCACATCTCTGCTTCCACTCTGCAGTATTTCCAACATGCTACAGAGTGAGTGTGTGTGTGTGTGTGTTAACCTTAGTGAACAGGTGTATTGGGATCACAGTGGTGATGAAAATGAATAGAAATGAATTACAAAATTGGATGAATGGTGTTAGTAGAGTACTGATTTCCTTCCAATCCATTTCTCCCGATGAACATTTAAGCTGTTAGCAGTTGTGTCCAATTTTAACTAATCTTTAATTACATTTAGCTGACAATTGACTGATTCTTTGCTCTTTTAAGTCCAATTTGCAGAATTAAAAAAAGATATCTCTACTACACATTACACCATATGACCAATTTTGTTTTCTATTGTTGTGAATTAGGTAAAACGGTTGCTGTGGACTATTTATTTACTAATCTCCTTGACATATGTCCTCAGACAAAACTCAATTATTTCCTCGGCGTTCATGTAGTTGTGGTCAACCTCTTAACTTGCAAGCGGAGACAAAGTCGTCCAATTTAGGAGAATAAAACAGAAAGCGATCCAATCCAATTTCCCCCTCTGTCTAGCAACTCGTTGGACAACACCGCACTAAAAGCAGATGGAACAGAAAGAACTTGTCGCCAGAATCGGTGTTCAGTCAGAGTGCTTCGATGCAAATTTTCAGACAAATCCCTTTTTAAAAAGGGAGCAAATTCAGGGCTATTGTTAGTGGAAACAATTTCAGGAGCTGCGTTAGCTGAATTATGGACCGGGCTACGACCACCAGTGTTATAGTGTGAGCTAACCACTCGGACCCCCCCAGTCCCATTAGCTCCAGTAGGTTACTGACAAGTCAATATAGTGTAGGGACATGAAAATGTGGAAACAAAACTGGGTTTGTGTCAGCCGTTTATGTTTGTCAGGAGGGAAACAAATACTCAGCATTGTCATAGCCTGAGGCTGGAAGCAGCTTTTGCTGGTGCAGGTCTTGATGTTCCTGAAGGTGTTGGGAGTGCAGGAGCATATTGACTTTCCTTAGGAGCAGTTGGTGCACCTTCTTTGCTATTTTCAGTGTCAATTAAAATGTGAGGTAGACCTTGAGCAGCTCAAGGCTTCACTGAAGCTCCTCTGAAGTGAGACTGTTGTGAATGATAAGACTACTTGGTTTTACTGACACTTAAAGCAGAGGTTGTTGTCCAGGCGCCAAGATGTGACAACTAAGGTGATTTCTGTTCAGTCTGCAAATTAGCTGCAGCAGCAGACACCTAAAGGATATCAGCAGTCGACGCTTATGTTCGTCAGGTTTATCAGCAATGCTGCTGTGACACTAGAGTCAGTACAGTCAATGCAGGTGAAGGTTTGGGGGCCGTAAACATTATCTCTTCCATCTCATCAGCGTCTCTCAAATGAAGGACGGCGAAGAGGACTGAAGGACGCCGATACTTTTGCTTTAAATAGTTTCAGCTGGAAAAAAAAAAAAAAACAGGAAAGGAGGAATGACCACAAGTAAATCATAATTGAAAGTTTATTAACAGTTTCGATTACAAATTTGTTCTGCATTAAATTCCATTACAGTACAAACCGGGAACTGAAGTAAAAGGCCACGCACTAGAGCTGAGGGACAAGAGGAAGAAAAAGAAAAGGGCTTCTCCAGCAGACGTGTGAGGTGCTGGAGAGCGAAGACAGCTGGGGGGCGGAAACAAAAGAGAAAACAACAGCAGACGATAGCAGATGAGGGAGGACAGAAGTGAGCTCATCAGAACAACACAACCCTTCATAGAAGGGGAGAATACAGACCTCCGGCAGCTTCACACAGCGCTGCAAAGAATGTCGCCACGTGTTTTAAAACAGGACGCAAAACGACATACGGATTATTTCCACATTTGCACTGAAACATGCCAACTGCATGATCTCCGAGGCGGTGCGCCGCTTTCTTCAGCTTACCGAGCGCCATTTAAATCACTCGCAAAATAGCGAGGAAGACACAACGTAATCGAACTGAATCTGGCGACGCTCAAATCAAGATGAAATCATAAAATCGAGGATGAACACGGGGAGAGAGGGGAAACGGATCCAGGGCCAGAGGAATCTCTAGGCGATCGGAGAATGCCGGCGGCTGATTGGCCGGTGTCGTCGCGGCCAGGAGGAAGCCGGTGGCCCCCTCTTTAGGAATCGGGAGGTTGGAAGGTCTTGGAGGTGGCAAGCATGGCTCGCACTTTGGCCATCAGATCCTGAAAAGAGAGAAAGAGTAAAGGTACTGTGGGAAAAGCAGCAAAGTATCTCATTTTGAATTAATAGACAAAGAAACATTCATGTTGGTATTACTATTCATTTGAATTGCTCCCTGTTGTGCGAAGGAGCTGCGAGCGGTTGCCACTGGGAATCAATTCCCCACGCTGCAGCTTTCAAATACTTTTTTTTTTTTGCTCATTCTGTTGTTTTGCCACCACGAGCCGCTCCCCCTCGTGTCGAAGGTTAATATACTGTGGTAAATTAAAAGTGGGTTCGGAGTGCGCTTCCTTCCCTCGAGCCATCAGGAATTCCTTAATACAGCTTAGAAGATATTTGAAGTATAATACCCTGTAAGCGCTGAGAATTAGATGCATCATCTCCTCCCCAAAGCCTCATATCTACAGTCACCTAATCCTCTGTTTCAACAGCTGACCTACTCAGTATGTCTTCAAGTAGTAAAAAAAACAAACGGGTATTGTTAAATGAACATTAATATTTGATTGTGTGGAGGGGGGGGGCAGCACTACTGCAGCAGCCTGCCTGGCGCGAGCACAGAATGCATCGCATGACGGGAGTCAAACAACGTCTCTATTAATTGGAAATTAAATGTAATGTTAGGTCAAGCTGAACGACTGCAGGCATTATGTTACGTCATGTAAAAAACAACAACAACTGTAGCAAGTAAGGCACTGCCAAATTTCCAAATCCCATTCCTTCCATTTTTTTTTAGGTGGAAATATTTATTGCTGACCAGGGTACAAATGCTTGCATTGCTGAATAGGAAATGTTGATTTGCATCCCAGGACCGATTAATACACGCATGGACAAATATCCAACCTTGAGCTCTCCTGACAGATGAGACAAATTAACAGCTGTAATCACGGAGGGAATGAGCTGTCATATCAAATCACTCGAAAGGCACTTTGTCTCTCAACCCTGGCGTATCCGAATGCGCATACACATACACACACACACGGACTTGTGCAGGGAGTGTGACAAACAAACAATGCTCCAAATTATTAACGGCCAAGTGGGAAGTTGCTCTACGGTTGATTCTTGTCTCGGCAGCAGCAATTGTACGACATTAATAGATTATCAGGAGTTACAGCGGTCACACAGGGGACGGCCAGCTCTGGTTAGATCACACTGAATAAGGATGGAGCCTCTAAAAGATGCATAGGATGTTGACCTAAATATTCCTTATGTCATCCAACATTATATAAAACATATATACAAGTTTATATTTGAAAACTCTTTAATAATCCAAATCTATGTCTGACAGTGTACTTCCTACTGTACTGCTACTGAAACATATTTCCATCTAATGAGGTGTTTAAACAAAAAAATTCACAGATTTGCAAATGAAAGCTGCAAGTCTAAACTATCCCTTCATAACATACTGAATGTCTTGAGGGAGTTATGCAACATCTGGAGTTTCCTCTTCATCCCCATCACACGTTCACACACCTGCCTGCCAGAACCTCTCCACCACCTTTCATTTAATCTGTTATGCTGGAAGACGACCTAGAGTGGACCGGACCATCTCAAAGTTTTGAAAAATAAAAATAAAACGAAGAAGAAACACACACACACACACACACACACACACACACACACACACACAAAATTAATTCCAAAAACTAAAATACAAAGAAAAAACCAACCTAAGCCTGGTCTTAAAGTGGACAAAGCATCTATCAGACGGAGTAAACCAAAACAAATGTAAAACAGGGGGACAGGAGACGGAGGACGAAAGACAAACAGGAGGAGAGTGAGAGACTGGTTGAGGCGAACAGCAACCGGGCCCCCTCGGGGAAGAGGAGACCATTAGGCAGATGAGGATGCGCTGAATTATTCAACATGTGTTTGTAAAACATCACAGATGGGGTATAAGTAGTTAGCGGTTGTGAATCTGTGCGTGTTGCAACAGCGGAGAACAGCATGTTTTTTTTCCCCGTGTCGGAATCGTGGAGATGAAGGACGGAGGAGGAGTTGTGTTTGACTATGTGAGAGAAGGACATTTCCATGTGCCGTTTCATGCACCGAGAGCTGTGAAATGAGCGGTGTTTTACATCTGCGGTGCATCTGGTGAGTAAACACCGGACAGTCTGACATTCTCCCTCCCTCCCTCCCTCCCTCCCTCACACACACACACACACACACACACTGGCCCATGGCCAGAGGAGAGAAAATGTTCCAAATGTTGTGTAAGTTGAACCAGTGTTCACAGAATAGCCAGTGTCGCCTCTCCATTCACACTCCATTGACCTCCATTAACTCGAGTCCCAATGCTTCTCGGGTTCTGGCCTCGACTGCAACCTCTCACCACATTCAGTGCAACACTGAGTTTCTTGTAGGTTTTAACTGCTCCTACACCACAAGGTTTAACATTGCAGCGCTACACTATCCAGCTACTACATAATACCAATGCTACAGTTCACATCTACCGTCCACACAGGCACACACCTCCGTCCTTTAATGCACGCGGTTGCATGAAGATCAAATACATAAAAAAAAAAAAAGATTGCATCACGTGCAAGTAGAAATGACTGACATTTCAGGATGAATAATAATTTGGGTGGTGAGACGGTTGCCTGAGAGGTCTCTCATCTCGGGATTGATTTAAGCCTTTCGACTAATCAAGGTGATGCAGTCTGAAATGTGTCTGGAGGGATGTGTCTCCGTGTTCAAATAGCAGTAGAGAATTAAGCAAATGAACAGCGTGTCACTGTGTTGCACTTAAGAGCTGGTGGAGAGAGCCGAGCCAGACAAAAATAGATAATAAAAACTTAAGCTGAAGAGGAAAACAGTTGTGACTCGTTGTCCTAATGAGAACCGATTCAAGTCAAAAGTGGCTTGACAACACTCTGGAGCCTTTTTTTTTTGTTGTAATTTAACAAAGAAAAATAACTCAAACACTCATTTGATTAAATGAATCTAGTAATCTGTACGCTCTTCTTTCCTTCCCGACATCTCTTCAGCTCCATGCCTATTTCCTCCTCTAGAACTGGTGAGTGTGCACGCATTTGGTTTGTGAAAGCGGCGCGATAAACAGTCACGAGTTGGACATTGTTATTGTAAACCGGTTGGAACAGGGACAATGTGAGGAGTGCGAGGTTATATATATACATTTTAAAATATATTTCTGTACCACTTATTCAGACACAGCGTTCCTCTCAATCGCCCAAATGAGGAACACAAAGCTCGGCGGATAAGCAAAACACAGACGCATCCCATTTAATGTGTCGCACACCAACAGATGCGAGCGAGCACAATGCACGAAGCACCGCCGTTCCGACAATCGGTGCACAAACTGTGAGAAAGTGGCTGCACGCAGAGCCTGGAGTGTGATTGCTGTAATTTCATACGGATTGGAAGTGTCTACGCCATCTTTAACACTCAACGGGGGATCGCAGCTTCTGTGAGTCATTGACGACATCATCAAGTCAGTAACGTATCGCGGGGTTCCCACACGTTCTCAAACTCGAGGACTTTTTCAATGATGTTTTCAGGCACAATTCCCTGTTACAAAGCGCCATTAGCATTCGTTTGGAGTTGTGTTTCTGGACGTCTAATGAATGAAAAGTCCAATATTCACTGTCTCTTAGTATGTATCTGGCTGTGAAGCTGCTAAATGCTGAAACTCACTCTAAAGCGCCGTAAAGAATTCTCTGTAGGAGCATGAGTGCACATTGTCATTTGATATTATTTATTAGATCAAAATATAGATTATAGAGGCTTAAAGGTTGGATTGGAAAACAAAAACCTGTACAGTCTACAGCCGAGGAGGCAAAAAACACATGAAAAAACACAGACAAAAATCAAAAGGTTTGACGTCTGTGAAGAGGAGAGGTTGACAAATTCATCGATTTTTGGGAGGAACAACTCAATGAACTTAACCTCCAACAGCTCAGCAGAAGTGGTAAACCTGTCTTTTTTTTGGGGTTTGAATGTACAAGTGCTGGAAGACGGCACATTAGCTCTGCCTGCTTCCTCCACAGAGAGGTGAAATCCAACATCCAAAGAGACTGCTTTTTTTTTGTCAGGGGTAAGTTCACCAAGGTCTCTGTATCCTTGCCACTCAACCGGCACCCACTCTCCCTAAATTCTTGGCTACGCTCCCAGAAGGAGTGCATGGGGGTGGGGGGTGGAAGTGCAATTTTAGACAGGGTGAATTGCTTCAGCTGTAGCGTGCAAACCTTTGTGAGATTGTTGAAATGGCAGCTTATGGGTAACGATGCCAATGTTACTTCTGTAGAGGTAGACAAAATACCGGAAACACCTTTCAGCCCTGGAAACTGCTGCTTGAGAAAACTCCAGCTGATTGGACTGTAAGCTTCACTTTGATTACAGGATATGACTTGATACACACAGATGGTTCAAAAAATGAATTCACGGTCCGAGGCAGCACTTTCCGTCTTTCCTCTTTGCACGATGGAAATACATAAAAGCACTCTACGTGTATTCGGTAGGCTGTAAAAGTTCAGGAGAGGACATGTTTGGGTTGAAAGCAAAAGAACAATACCTGAGTTATTTTGGACTGAACAGAGGATACAATGGATGAGGCCACTGCCTTGTCTTTGTCCAGAGAACCACCCCTGTAGGGAGAGAGAGAGAAAACCAATCATGTTAACAGGAGAGGCTATACAATATTCATAATATCTTCTGAGATGTTCAAAGTTGGAGAGACTTCAAGAGCTGTAAGAAGGGAGAGAGAGGAGAGGGGAAGAGACAGAGAGGTGAAAGAGGAGTGGCACGTTATCTGTAAAAAATTTTTTTTAAATATCCACCCAGAGCCAAAACTACCACATCAACAATGTCAAACGCAGACAAGTTTATAATGCCAAAAAATCACAGGGTCTGTCTAAAGCCCCCAAAGAGTCTCTGTACAAGGCTCTGATGTCTGTCTGTCTGTCTCTGTATATGAATGATATGCAGATCTCTTTAGGTGACATGCTGCAATGCTGGGTTTAATATTTAAGGGTAATGCTGAGTCACAGAGTTCCTACAGTAACTGTTGAGCGGGTAGGTAGTGTCACATATTTAGGGAGGATTTTAGACACCAACTTGAATTGTAATGAACACTCAGAGCACACCGTTTCTTTTCGGGATATCAAATAGCTTTGATGTGGAGGATTGTTTAGTCACTCTAGTAGAAAGTATAATTTAGGAGCAAACGTCAGCTCACAAGAATAGTTAAAACTACCAGCAAGATGAAACAGAACCCCCCCAGAGAGACAGCCCAGCACCCAGGAGGAGAGCAACATTAGTAGTTGAGGACTCTTCACGTCCTCTGCTTAATGGAGACGATGTAGTGCACCCACAGCAGTGATTAACATCTCTTATTCTCCATCATCGTACTAAACAAATGACTTTACCGAGACTGCTGTTTTTTTTAATCACGACTATTTACAATATGTAAATACTTGTTCATATTTCAGCACTTTAATCCCAGCCTTTTGGAACACTTATGAATAATTTATTGTTTCTTATCTCATTTTTTGTTTTTTTAAGTGTATGTATGTCTGTGATGCCAAAGACAAATATCCATGCGATGAAGATGTGTATTCTGCTGTCGGTGCCTAAACTTTTTTTATGATTCATCTCGAGATGTTCAAAATAGGCGAAGTCGTGCGCATCGAGTTGATAAAAACACAACGGGGGACAAGAAACGGCAGAACACACTGCTGCTTGGAACGCTCTGCTTATGTGGCCTACAAGTGTTTCCGTTTTTGTGGTCACTCAAGTGTGTGTCAGCCAATGCGTGATCTGGAACGATGAGGCTGTAGTAAGAGCTTTTAATAAGGTGATAAAGATTTGGATTGAGAAAGATTGACTTCGTAATGAGCGGACAGATGACCTCAATAAAGAGGCCAAGAATTTAATTTTACAGCACTTTCAAAATAGGCCGTTCCTTTGCATAAAACATCCCCAATAGTGGCTCGTATTGGCTCCTCTGTCCCAACGTGATGATCATTTGTTCAGAAATGATGTTTCCACTCCTACTTATTCCGTGTGACACAACCGATACTTTGAATAATGCAAAATACAATGAGCTCTTTCCCTTCCTTTGATGTTCAGTTTAACACTTTCACTTTATCTTTACAGACACTTGACTAACTAATACTCCCGAGGATCTCACGCTGACCTCGACTGAGATTGTTTCCATGAACTTCTTTTAAATATTCAAGCAAATATTTCTTGCAGCCACGACACACAGCGATGGGGAGTTCCTTTGCCCCCCCGACCCTCGCCTTGTAATCGCTTCATGGGAAGAAAAACAACCCTCCAAATCTATTTAGTCCTCTCTAAAATTGCTTCAAGATATATATTCAGGATTTTCTGATAAGCTGGAGAGGCAACACTTAAGAAATGCATCATTTTCTTCTTTTTTTTTTTTTAACAATACTTGAGAATGCCACAACTGATTATTTGATTTAATAATGGCAGACTGAAAACCACTATCTTTACAGACACCGTGCAGCAAATACATGCTGCTCAGAGTGGACGGTAATCTCTCAAGAAACCTGTTTTAAAAAACATCCTGAGAGTACAATTTCTCCGGCTGAGCTCAAACTGTAGTGAGGGTGATGATGTACGAAGGGACCGCTTCAAGGCCAGGAGATACCCTATCGCACGCACGCACACAACTTGCTGAAGAATTCTTTAAATATTCAGAAGTGAATGTCTGCAGCTTTAAATTGTCTCTGTTGGAAATAATTTTAATTGCAAACCAACAACCGTAAGACCTCAGACGGGATTGTGTCCGCTGCCATGAATACCTCTGTGCCTGAGCACCTTGAAGCTGAACGATGTTGGCTCCGAGCCATCATATCACTGGCTCCTTAGATTGAATGCTTGGGTCTCTCCCGTCTATACTGGATGTACACAATTCCTCGGGCAAACTTTGTTTTACCCACTAGCTTTTCATATTCACAAAGCTAGCATACATCAGACTGGCAGTATGTCATCCAGCGTGGGCTCTGACCATCACGCTGTTTTTAGGGCGGGAAACCATCCCTCGTTCTTCGTAGACGGCAACGGCGTTTAGAGGAAGATGAAACGCGTCTCCAAACTTCTACCTTAAACAGACTGGTGTACAACAATAACGCTATGCTGTAGAGTTAATGTGTAGTTGGTTGGCTACATACTTAATGCCTTGCTCAAAGACTGAGGCTGAATACAACTAGTCTAGTTTAGGACAAGCAAGACAGAGGTTACATTTAGGCTTTAATGGTCATATTTTCAAACATTACGTTTCACTTGAATGGGTTTTAAGACGAGGACTAATATGTTTGATGAACATAATACTATATTGGGTAATAAGTTGGGCTGCAGTTATTAGAGTATAAAATTCCGCAATCTCTTTTTCTCTCTTGCGACCACACAAAATTGTCCTTGGAAGTAAAATTGGGTGAGCTTAGGTAGTTTTCTGCAGCTTACTTTAGAGGAAATAATCCATTACTTACACTTTTGCTGTTTTTTTTGGTTTGTTTTTTGAAAGGCTAAATGAAAATACACCACACTCCAAATTCTTGTATCACTCTTGCTACAGCCCCATGCACACCACTTCAACATGTGGAGAAAAAAAACGTTTATTTCACAACAATATCAGTAAAAAAATCATGTTTTTAAGAAAGAGTTAGTGTTCGTCATCATGCTCAGTTTGGTCTTCGACAGGGTGCATCAGCACAGTTTTCACAGTTTGCTATAATTGCCAACTGCTGTGCTCTGTTTGTTTCATAAGAGACGATTGTTCGATCTATTGGTCAAAATGAGACGCATTTAAAAGCAAAAGTAATAGAAATTGCATCAATCTCCTTGGCTGGAAGTCCTCCCAACAAGCTTGCGTTTCTTTAGTGAAGAGACATTCAGTTATACCTGGGAAAGCAGTTGATTGACAGGCGTGTAGAGGGTTACCTGGAGTGGGCCAGGCTGGAGGCGGGGCTAGCTGACGGGGACAAAGCTCTGCCGGGCGAGGAATACGGGGAGAGAGAGGAACCCACGATTTGCATCTGTCCCGAGGATGACAAGAAGCTCCTTCGTTTTTCAGGAGGGGACCTTTGGGGGGGACAAAATGTGAGAAGGAACCGAAACATCGCAGATTCAAGCAGCAACGCCGTACAACACACAATACATCAAGGGCGTGGAGGACTGTCTGAAGGCCGAGCTTGTGTATTCAGCAAAGCCCTACTTTAAATTCACTGGTGCAGTTTCCACCAGTGGTCATTTGGGGATTAAAAATCTGCCTTGTAGGTATGTTCGCTAAATCTACTCTTATACAGACACAATCTAAAACATTACTCAATGTATAGTACACACACACACACACACACCCACACCCACACCCACACACCGTATTATCAACACCATTGTGCGAATGTCATAGCATCTCTCTGCCTTGACAGGTGAAATAAATCAATGCTTTCTGTGATAAAATAAACACTGGCGTACGTGAGGACCCGTGATTTCTTTCCCTCAGCGCAGACTCGTGAAGTCTGCCGATAGGTTTACCTGGATCTCGAATGCCCCCTGGGCAGGCCGGAGCTGCTGCTGGGATGATGGCGCTCCCGCTCTCTCTCGTCACGTCTCCTCTCCGTCGAGGGGCCCCTCCTGTCCCGTCTCCCCGGGGAGTGCGAGCGGGATCTGGCCAGACAAGGAGGACAAAGAAAAAGTGTAAAAAGAGGAGGTGAAGCCATTCACTTACACACGACAGAGCGTCAGCAGGCGAGAGCTGATGCATTTGAAATGAAGCACGCGGACAAAAGAGGGTGGAAAAGACCGAATAGCCAGAGAACGGTTTGCAGTGATTCCATTAGAGTACTGGCCGAGGTGGATGTGGCACAATACACATCAAGGCAGTAGAGCCTCAATACAGTGCGACTGGGCCACAGCACAGAAACACATATCATGATTGCGTGAATTACTTTAATACACATCATGGACTTTAAATATGTAAATACTGTTTTTCTAAACTAGTCTGAAAAGAAAACAGCATTAAATATGTATGGACTATATACTGTATATGTGAGATTAATTCACTTCTCAAGATTTCTTTGCATAAAGGATTAACTTTCTGCACTGGCTGGTATGTAGAGCACGCACATCATTTACAGGCATGAAATAGCCGCGGTTACAGGAGGAAGTTATACCCTTGTTTTCTAAAAACAAAGCCCAAAAGGAAAAGGCCAGCGGAGGTAATGTCAGCTTTGTTTATCCACCCAGCGGTGGATAAACAAAGCAGGCTGGTCAACATTGGCCTATTTGACAGATAAATGGCACCAACAAAGCAGCCCTTAATTTGATTCATAAATTCATTCCACATTGACTATTTTCTTCCTGGAAACGAGAAAGAAAAGACAACAAGAAATTTAAAAAAAGACAGAAAAAATGCATTATTTTCTATTAATGTTTTTGTTTATGCACTAAAGGTTCAGCTGAACTATAAAACAGAGGGTGAATCATCACTTGGTTCTCAGTCTGTCACATTAAATGTCTTATACAGCAGCTGCACCAATCACAGACCCGCTTCGCCAACTAGGTAAGTTTATATCCGGAGGAAGCTCTGTTTCCTGACTCATCCCTGTAATGTGCATTGCATAAACCGAAAGGAAGAAGGTATTTTTAAATTCTTTCTGCAGCAAAGCAGCATTAAAAAACAACAATAAAAGTGCTTCCTACCAAAGGGCTGTCATAGAGGGAACAAATATGTACGTGTACTCCAAGCACACCACTTTAAATAAAGATCAAATTTATCCGTTTGATACGTAGAAATTCTCCGCCCTGCCACTGACAGTTTTGAACGAGCGCATCGATCAACGGGGTCTTACCGGGACCTGCGGGATCTCTTGTAGGCACTGGGAAGGGAGTGTTTGCTCTTCGACTTTGACCTCGACTTCGATCTCGACCTCCTCTTGTGTTTCTTCTTCTTTTTGTCTTTGTCCCTCCCTTTGTGCCGGTCTCTGTCTCTTTCTTTCTCTCTCTCTCGATCTTTCTCTCTCTCTCTGTCTCTCTCTCGATCTTTCTCTCTCTCTCTGTCTCTCTCTCGATCTTTCTCTCTCTCTCTGTCTCTCTCTCGCTCCCTCTCTCGATCCCTCTCTCGATTTTTCTCTCGATCTCTGTCCCTGTCTCGATTTTTCTCTCGATCTCTGTCTCGATCTCTCGCTGCTCCTCTGGAGGTAGTGTGGGATGATGAGGAGGATGGAGGCTCCCTGCTGCGATGCGCTCCTTTGTTCTCCGCGGCCGCTCTTGGATCCTGAGGATACGCGGGTTGTGCAGACGACACTTGATGAGGCACAGGGTCACACAGGGCAGAGAGAGCTTCCTGCAACTAGAAACAAAAGGCAGAAAGAACAGGAGAGAGAGCAAAGACATCAGTGAAGGCATTGTTCCAACCGACACAATAGGACGCTGGACCTTTTCTTTTTCATTAGGGGAATTGTATGAATTCCCAAATGCTTGATGTCTCTATCGAGCTGTATTGATGTAGTTACAACAGAAGAAAGTGGTGGAATAATGTCACTAAAAGGGGCATGGATGGGATCATAACCAGCTGGCTCAGGCAAAGTCATAGTTCCTTCCTCTGCTGGGAAATTATTACTCATAAAAAAAAAAAAATAATTCCTTACTCAGCCGATTGAAATGTGCGAGTTACACAACTCAGTGCAGCCCTCTGGCTACATGCTGAGTTACAACTGTTAGCTGCAAAGTGCCTCTAATTACTCCGATGAGGGTCTGTCTGCTCGTATAACATTGACCTGCAGCTGGATTCCTGCTGAAAAGACGGCTTCGGTCCATCAGTGGGTTAAACACGACGCTAAATCTTCCAAGGCCAGATTTTATCTTCCAGGGTTGGGGTCTTGGATTGCTCCTGGGGGTTACCCATGTCACATATGTATGCTTTCACGGTACCAAAAGGGCATTTAGATAAAGATAAACATCAAATGGCATATTTTATAAGCCAACATTCACATGAATGGAGTGACTACCCAAGTGATGAGTGATAAATATGGAAGACAGAAAGGAAATGAATGTGCGCTGTGTGACTTCCATCTCTACAATTCAATCTTACCCATCTGCTAAAATTGGCAAGAAATGGGAGGAGCATAACAAGAGAGACAGGGAGGGACAGAAGGAAGTAGGGACATGATGATGATGAAAGTAGGAAGCAAATGCGGTAAAGAAGAACAGGCAGGAAACAAAGAGAGAGCACTCGCAACGGAAGACAATCAATAAGTATCTAAAAAAACACAGGCAGGGAAGAGGAAGAATATTTATTACACCTTTCTATTTGCACGCTATCTGGTGTCTGGGATAAGGGAGCGATAATGAAATGATAGGAAGCGAGGTTTGGTTTAAAATTAGGACTGACATATTGGGAAGCTTATCCCAACGCCAGAATGAGAAAACGCCTGCCCTCTCACACCTGCTTGGGCAAGATACGAAAGTTCGGACAGTAAGGGGAGCAACAATGAAAAAAAAGTTGCAGTCCACGTAGGGGATAGGAGAGGAGATGGAAAGCTAAGGAAAGGAGAGGAGAGGAGGAACACAGGAGGGATATTCTATCAATATAAAATAATAATAATCAAAATATATAAATGAATACTATATAATAAAGAAACAACTACTAATAACTAGAGCTACAGTTTAAAATGTAATACCTGAGTCACTGTTATAGGAAAGTCAGGTTGGCAATTTTAGTAGGTTTGATTTGAAAAGATGAATAAAAGAACTACAGCAGCACAAGCTGAACACATTCAGAGAGAGAGTTTAAAATGCACATATATTTCGGCTTGATTAGAAATCACAGTAATAAATACATCACTTCATTATAATCTCCCCAAGCTCAAAGAAAATAGAATCCATTTAATTAACTGAAACGCTGTGAAAGATGCACAGAACTCTTCTCATGTTAAATTAAATGTAGCACACAGAAAGAGCTCACAGTCACAATAATGTGCACTGCCTCTCTGTGTTTGCATCTGTACAAAACGGCATACAATCAAACACGACACGACGTCTTCATTCAGCTCTTTTCCCATTCTTGTGCATCGTCCGACATGACGAAATAAAGAATAGGCAGAGGCAGCAGAAAATCTCTATCTAATTAATAAGGAAATTGATGTGAGAACGTGTCGGGGAAATTCAGTGCGAGGAGCAGGCTAGCCTCCCTCGTGTTCACACCGGTCATTAATCAAAAAGCTTCCACTGCAAAATACGTTTTTTTTATTGTTTTTTTTAAATCAATCGCTGATGGAAGCCTGCGAGAGAAGGCTGGGAACGCTCTTACTCCTTCATGTCATTATTCTACAATTCATCAGCATTCTGAGCGGTGCCACTGCATCGGGGGCTCCCTCCATAACTGTACCGTCATGAGTGAATGAACATAAGAGAAACATTTATGTTGGTCATCTTTGGCCTGTCATAAGAGGTTATGTTTGGACATGCGTGATGATGATGGTGATCCCAAGTGGAGTATCTTCTTGTGGAGATACTGTCGTTACTTAACGTTGCTCGGTAGAGTTCAGTGATGGGATGTCTGTCAGGTTGGTCACCAGTGTGCTATTATTCCATACTGCGACAACAGTGCTGAAACATATGACCAATGGCAGCGTTTCAAAGTAAACAGTTACTCAGTCATGTAGCTACTTTTTTGATGAGGTAACTAGTTACATAAGTCCTTCTTCGGATAAACAAATCATCACACATGCTCGCAGCCTTGTGCCATCTGATAGAATCAAGGAGTAACAATAGAAGAAAATAAACCCCCACTGTACTTAATGTAACGCCTTAAATCTTGACTAGACTGAGCACCGACCAACACAAGCTCACAATCTCTAGCTGGCCGTACATCCAGGTATTCATTAGCAGGCCACAGTCCTGGATTGTGGAAGTCCCTTCAGGGCACACACACACACACACACACACACACACACACACACACACACAC